AAGTAGGACAGAAAGGGCAGAGGGACAGGTAGGGCAGGAAAGGACAGGTGGGATAGGACAGGCAGTTCAGATGGGGCAAGGCAGGTAGGACAGGAGGACATAGGGCAGGAGAGGTAGGATAGGCCAGGTAGGACAAGCAGGGCCGACAGCTGTCACCCCCAGACAATGTTGCCCCCCGGGCAATAAATCCTGTTAGTGTAACTCACTCTTCCTGCCTCTGAAACTCAGCGGTGCCTCCAGCCCAGGCAGAGCTGCTCCCACATTTTCCAGCGTCCCACTGCTTAATGTGGAAAATCCACTTTCATTCTTGAAGCAAGAACCAGACTGAGTGTCTTGGGGTGATGGGAGGACAGCAAACGTTCCAAGTTTCCCCCCTTATCTAATGGGATGAATCTTCATTCCACTGATTAATTCTGCTCCAGTTAACATGCAAATCCAGCCCTGGGGATGTTCCACACCAAGGGCCTGCAGTTTGGCATTCAAAGGCACTTTTTTAATGAAATCAAGCTCCCAATTGCACCCTCAGCTGATTCCCCAGCTCATTTACACAGACCCTGACCCCGAGGTGCCCTGTGCAGCATCCAGGCCATCAGAAAACCCTTTTGGGAGGGGTATAACCCTGGAATATTTGTTATCCCAGGCTCATGCTGGATCTCCTCAGGAGAGCAGGGGCACAACCACCCCCTGACCCTTTGCCCGTGGATTTTATGTCTGGGGACAGGACAGCCAGGCAACTGCTGGAGAGGATTTTAAACCAATCCCTGCAGAACCTCCCCAAAACCACTCCCCCTAGAACAGGGTGCAGAACTCGTGATCCCCCTCCCTCCTTCCCCCACAAAAGCCACACCCCCAGAGTACAAACTCCATTAACCTATCTGGGTTCAGCCCTTAATGACAGGCATTTTTGCCTTGATATGATCCTAAACTGCCTAAACTGCACTTTTAAGTATTACCTGCTCTAATTCAGATTTAACAGAGGGTTTTTACACCCTTTGGAGAGGGACACCGCCACACCAGAATTCCACTTCCACACAACTGAGAAACACCCAACAGGAGCATCATGTTCTCCTTAATATTGATGGATTAACCAGTAGCTCACTCACCAAGAAACACACACCAAGCCAAAGCAAATCAAGTTTATTATATTCTCTATGGCAGCCAAGTACAGATTTAGAAGCAGCACCGGGCAGGGCTGATTTCAGGGTTTACACACACACACACACACACAAACTGCTGCTCCCACCCACATCCTGTGAGCCACCCCCCTCCAGGATCAGCTTCCCTGGAATGCCCTTGGCCCACGAGGTCAGTGTG